GATTCACCAAAAATTCTACAGCCAAATATACAACCAAAATCAGAAACAGATTCCATTTCAAGATTTTAGGGGTTTAACTATACCCATATCACATATAGCATATAAGTCATGAAAATAACAAAAAATCAAAAATTCTATAAATACCAGTGCTTTTTGTAAGTTCCCCCATGCCTTGATGATCCTTGATGACTCCATCCATAAGACAAAGAGAGCAAGAAGAAACACAAGTGGGCATCATATTATGGGGGGGGGAGAAGAGAGATATATATATATATATATATTTTTTTTTTTAGAAATATTTTTCCAATCTTCATCTAATTTCCTTCATTATATATAATATCCAATAGAGAAATAAATCAATTATCTTTCTTCTATTTTATAAGAAATATATCCAAAAAATCCAAAAAGATTATATTTCCGTTGCAAATATCAATTCAAATTGAAAATAGGAATAATTAAGAGATAGATCGTAATTTCATAGAATTTTTGTTGTAAGCCCCTCAAAATCGAAATATATGAAAATGCAGGAGTCAATTAGGTCGCGAAAATTCATTATTTTTTGAGCTATATATATATATTCAGATCATATCTTTTTGATATTTTGAAATATAAAATCCTCGAGAATTTCATAAATTCTCTATAAAATATCATCAATCATTGATTCAATGATTGAGTTATCATTTTGGTTGCCATTGTCGGTTGGTTTGGGAATAGCCATTGCGTTGGCGGGCCTTGTTCTTGTCGTCGGCCTTTATCTCAGTCTTCCCTCGTTGTGCAAAAGTCAGTTGAGGGCCGTCGGTCAGTGCATGGAAAATCTTGCCGTCCACGTGCTCGCGAATTGCGTCTCCCTTCTCAATGATGCATGTGACGAGCCCTGAGCCTGACTTACTGGTTTCTAGTAGGGAATAAAGAAGATGTTATATGGGTATTAAATCCAGATAATATTCCCGTATTCCCTACTAAGGACCAGCAAGTATTCCCTTATTGCCTATGAAGAACCAGTCAGTTGACTCCAGTCAGAAACGAAGTGAACATGTGACAATGCAAATGCTGATGTGAAAATAGGAAAAGCAAAAATATCGACCTAAACCCTAAACCCCAAAATGCATGTCCAAACTTCGGGGCTCGAAGGTGTACCTGTCCCTGTAGGGAGTGAATCATTGAAAAGCGGAAAAGCGAATAAGACTGCTGAATCGATTTCTCAAAATTAGTAGAAGAATCTTGGAGGCAACCCCATTGAAAACACCAAATCTCTTAATACCGAACCATCAAGAGGTCGCCCATTTACAGGGGCTGAAAAGAGGAGCCCCTTAGTATATCTCAACAAGGCGAGACTATTATTACTATGACTATTATTTTTATTCTTAATATTACTATTACCATTCTTATTACTCTTGTCATTATTATGACCCAACTCCATTCTTTCTCAACTTCCCATTTCTGACCCATATCAATCCTCGAGCCCTAACATTGACCTAAGCCCAGACTAATCCAAATCGCCATACCATGCCATTACCCTCATGTAGAAGTCAGAATCATCAGTGGCTATTGTCATGTAATGCGCCCATTCCAACTATGCAGGCTCCTACCTTCATAAAAATCCTTACATGGGTGGTTGTCAAAATTATGGTCCCTTGTTGGGTACCCTAAATATTAGGTGCCGTACTATAATAGGGACCCAAAAAGGGACCATAGTTTTGACAACCACCCACATGAAACATAACTTCCATTTCATTTTACATGCTCTTTGCCATTTGCTTCTCTATCTCCTCAAAAACCCGATTATAATCCCCCTTAAGCAGATAGAATATGGCTTTGGATATGTTTTAATAAGTTCCCCATATACCCCATATTCTATCTACTTCAGGGGGACCATACACCCATTAAGTCCAGGCACTCCCTCGTCGCGCTGTACGGCCAGCGCTGTGCACAAACGCTGTTGCGTCCACGGGCGCATCGTACAGAATGACATGGCGGACCCGTGGAAAATCCTGGGGCCATTTTCAACTTGAAGGGCTGCGTTGGACAATACATTATGCTGCAGAAATACAAAACCAGCGTAAAACAAATTCTGAAGTGATCCAGAATCTAAGCCCCTGGCGGCCATGTCAGTAGTAAGCAAGATTTGGCAGGTGCCCTCCCGAAACTCTCGCGCAATCCTACCTGCTACAGATTCAGAGGCTATTCAAAAGCTTGGGGGTTCTACAGTTACTGTCCTCCTTGTAGGAATGCTACTATTAGCTGTTTTTGGCCCTGGATGCTCAATGGTGACCAACTTACATGAACTGAACTTGAGGGGTTGAAGATGACAGCTATTTGCAAATCGCTCCCAGGTGCCTTTCTCATCCGGGGAAGTTCCCTCGTGGAGGGCGAGTGGCAGGTAGTCCGCCTTCACCTGCAGCAGGCATACCGCAGTATGAGTAGCAAAGACAGTACGAAAACAAGAAGGCTGACAACGCAAACTCCTGCTAATAAAGCTAACGCGACCTCGACAGCACTCGTCAGAGTAGTAGTGGGGCGGAGGTGTTTTTTTTTCCTAACGTCGGGGGGTTCCTCTCGATATGAAAGCTCAAAAACGATGACAGTTACGAGGATGGCGACCCCGAGGGGCCCCATCCCTGTGACTGTGGACACTCTTGAAGC